CTATAGTAGCAGTAGAAGTGGAATGCAGAAACCAGAGGGAAGGAGCTAAAAATCCAAATAGTGAACTTGAATTTGGGAGGGTTATAGTTTTGGTAATGACAAAGTCAGGAATAGGGCCCTGGACTTGAGGCAAAGTTGTCAACCAGGTTGTTGGAAGAACATTCCTCATGGAAGTTGGCAACTGAAAACCCAGATTTGACATGGCTTCTTCATGTAGGTCAAAAATATGTGGCAACTTATGAACGCAGTGGAGTTTTTTTGTTTGGTCTTTCACTGGCAGTCATGCCCAGCAGAAATGGCCTTCCCCGTCCTGCAGCTGATCTTTATTAGTGTTTACTGCTCATTGGTATAAACTGTGCTGCTCAGATTTGGATTAGGGGAAGATCTGGTCTAAATTAAAACTGTAATAAATGAGCACTGTTTACATTTCCTCACACCCGCCCTTCTCCACACACACGTCAAATTACTCTGGAAATGAAATGCAAAATAAAACGAGGAAGGATTCTGTTCTTCATTAATGTGTAATTACAAAACGCCGGGGCTCCCCTGCTGGGTGCAGACGGAAAGCCCATGGCAGGGTGGGAGTGCTTGAGGGTGGGACGTTCTTCATTGCTGTTAACTATGGGTGAGTGATTATTTTCATGTCTGCACAAAGAGATGAATAAAACTGAGGACTTAGGTGAGATCTGTACCCCTTTGCAGAACCATAATGAGGTGAGAAAAGCAAGTGGGCAGAACTGTTCCTATTGCAAGACCAAAACCTTACCACCTAATGATCTTCTCTCTGTTGTCTGTCTGTCTGTCTGTCTGTCTCTTAAAAATAAACTAAAGCATTTAATGAGTAACTTTGAATTCGGCTTTATTCCCAGGCTTAACCCACTTAATCTTTTGTGTAAAAGTAGCAAAGATGATAGAGATGGTCTCCATTTGCTTCAATTTACTTTAAAGATACTTGTAGTCTCAGGGCTGGGAGAGGAGCAGGCGAGGATGCAGGGAGGTGGTGTCAGGCTCCAGGACCAGCAGCCCCAGCAGCCCAGGCTCGTTGTGCAGGGAGGCCACGCAGTCTCACCTGTGCAGTGGAGGCGACAACAGTTTACCTGGCCTCCCAGCAGGACTTGTGAGATAAGTGAGACTTGCTGAGAGTATTGATAAAAGTGCTGGCACGGTGCCTGGCACCATGCTCAAGGAAGGCATCATCGCTGTTCTTAGCAGTGGAACAGGGAAACAAGATGAGAGGAAACCTGTGTCCCTCATTCCAGCCTCTTTCCCCCAACTATGATCATTTCTCAGTTTTAATTTAAAACTTCGCATTTAATCTGAAATTTGAATCTCGTTAGCTCTTTCTATAGCACTTTCCCACATTCTAAATAACAGTTGACTAACCACTGATTTTCTTGGTAATTCATAAGAGAAAAGATATTATAGGGGCACTTTGGAAAGAAAGTATAGTTTTCCTCAAAGAGCACACAGACTTTTTTTTTAAAGGATGGGGCTGCGCTTTCCACTTGGGTAGCCTCTGAACCCATGGGGTTCAGAGCCAATGAAAATTAATAAAATTAAAAATTCAGTCCCTCAGTTGTGCTAGTCACACTTGCAAGTGCTTCCGTGGGCCTGATGGAGACTGCACTGAGCCGTGACAGGAGGGGGCATTTCCAGTGTTCCACTGTGCACGTGCTACCTGGCTTATGAGTGCTCAGTAAACACGGGATAGAAAGTAAGGGATGAGATGCAGTGTTGAAGACAAGATGGGGAGGTAAAGAAGAGAAATTGTATCAGTTTCAAAAATTTGTGAAGAACTAGTCCTGCACTTTCCTGCACCGAAACCACTAAACAGTAAACAAAACTGCCCGTAAATTATCTGTGGAGAATATGAGAAAGAAATCTCAATGAATATATTTTAGCTATTGAAAAAATTCCTGGTATACTTCTTTTTACGTGGATTGTAAAAAGATTCTGGATCCTGAGTTGAGAGGGTGGTGGCTTGGACCAGGCTGCTGTCAAGAAAGTTGGTGAGAAGTGTTAGTTTCGGGATAAACATTGAGACAGAAAGATGGTGCCACGTGTCCTGCAGACCAAATGCACAATGCAAGGAAAGTTACTTTGGGCTGCTCAGCCATGGGTGTAATGGGGTCAAACACACCCCAATGTGAAAGGGGTTGGCCTGACTGTGGGTCCTCACCCACATGCTTAAAAGGGACTTATGAGACTCAACCACAGGTACACTCAAAAAGGGTAATAAAGGGTTTCTTTACAAAAAGGGGAAATGAAGAAATGAATAACTCAGGGAGAACAGAGAGATAAATTGAATGCATCCTACTGTTATAGGACAGCCCTTTTCCCCCTAACACTACCAGTTCTGCTGATCTGGAACCCCAATGGCATGCTGAATGCCTGTGAAAAACCAAGCACCCCCAAGGCACACATGTCTGGTTTTATACCAAATCTGGCTGCTTAACTCCATCCTCAGTTCCCAGCAACCCTCCCTAAGGTGATGGTGACATTACGGGATTTGTAGTCCTTGGTGTGTTGGATCTCTTTGGTCTGTGGTCCAGGAGGGAGGATATAAAACCTGTTTGTGGAGTTTATTCAGGACATCCTCTTCCCCCAACAAGCCTATTAATCATCTAGTTATTTCTTTTTACCTTTTTAAATGTGACTACTAGAAACCTTACGATTACCAAGGTGGCCTGTACCGTATCTCTATGGAACAATGCCGGATAACTTGTCTTAGGAAGAAAGGAGTTTGCAGTGTTCCTCCCCATTGTTTTTTCCAAAGGTGATTCAGAAATCCTTAGTGATGTGGGCTGTATTCTCCAGGAGGCTTTTGCACTGCAGCAGGAGACTCTGAAACCCATCCTGATACAGAAGCCAGATTACAAGGCTTTTGATTGGTAGTTTTTCCCCCCAACTACCAGAGTAAAGGCAGTAATTATGTCCACATTGTCTAACTAAATGCTGCTGGCATGTGGCATAAGAGCTTGTTTCAGGCGGCTCTGGGAGAGCTGAGTGCTGTCCTCCCTCAATAGATAATGAAGGTGGGGGCTGAGCCCTCACAGCTTTCCTGTGTGGCTGACACCTCCATGCCAGCTCTGCATTGCAAGATAAGAGGAAAGAATGATTCTGAGAACCCCTGGGAAGTGAGGGGGGACCCCTGCTGTTCTCTAAAAGGCATTCTAAGAAAAGACTTCACAGAAAATCAATTGCGATCACTTAAGACCTTTCCTTTAACTCACTCTGTTCCACCCTAGGCTTATTTTTTCTTAGAAGAGGACAAAGCAATGTGTGAAAAATTATATACCATTCCTGTGGTGTCTTTGAAACAAGTTTATAAATTCCTAATATGCATTCCTATTAGTTAGGAGACTCAAAGAAAAGAGGGTGTCAGTAAAAATCATCCACTAGGACAGGTGATGGTTTTGGAAGCAGGGTGCACGGGCATTGTTGGGGTAGGTGATCCAGGATCCCAGGATCGGGAGGAAATGAATCTGAAGAAAGGAAAAGCCTCGAGAGGTGAGACACAAATCCCCGCCCCCCACCACCCACCCTGTGTGGATTCTGAATGAGGCTTCCAGACTCCCCTTCAGGCCTTCACTTCCCTGTGGGCGGAGGCTTTCATTCTCCATGGGAACCCAGGGAAGATTTGAGCTGAAAAGACCGTATCCTGTTAGTTCATGGATTTCCCCCTTTGCGGTTTCTGCCCACAGCCCTTCTTATTTTTAGATCAGATGTTTTAAGTATGTCAGCTTCTTTTACCCCAGCATGCTGTGGGTGAACAGTGTGGGGTTGATCTCTCCAAAGTGTCAGAAACCTTTCTCATATGCCCAGAATAGCCTCTTTCTAAAGGTGTGACCTTGACACGGAGAATTGAAGGTCAGCGGACGCCCTGTATGCCACAGGAGGCCTATTCTGTTACTTAAAGAATGTAGGTTATTTTACATTAAGAACAGCGAGGCCCCTGGGAGCTTTTTGTCCTTTTGCCTTTTCTTAGTTGATTAAGAAGTCACTGCTTCCCCTTTTATGACCTGGAAATAATGTAATTTGGAGGGTGTCATCCAGGTGTTGGTTTATCAGTGAGTGTGTCCCCTCTGTCTGAGGAGCTCATCTTTACTGTCCTCTCCTTGTCTGTCATGTGATGTCTCCCCCTCTCTCTTCTTAGCACCCAGATCCCTAAACACAGGATAAGTAGCTCTGGTCTGCTCTATTAGTCTTGAGAATTTACTGTGTAAATTGTCCATCCAAGTTACTAAGTCTTGACCTTTTCTTGTACTAATCTGTCTGAAGAAAAATTGTCCATTCAGCCTCAGAAGAACTCAAATTCGGGTAGGTGGAGTTTTTCCCAGTGCTGTGATAACAGCGTTGATCCTAGAGACAGACAAAGCCTGGGGTTGTACCCAAGTCTGTTGTTACATCCCAGTTGTGTCATCTCAGGCTGTCTGATCTCTGGGTGCCTCCCTGTCCCCCTCTAACTGAGAGCACTGATAACTGCTGCCCAGCGGCCATGGTAGAGAATGAGGTGCCGTGTGTGCTGGAGTAAGGGTCTGGCACAGGGGAAGTGCTCAGAAATGCTCACTATAATAATAATTAGCTATAATTCTAAGGAACAAGCTACAGGTAAAATAAGCATGGCTGAAGTCCACAGATACTAGAATTTCACATTACTCAATTCGTCTTATTTTGTCATAAGGGACTGTATAGTCTATTGGTTACGTGGCTTAGAGGCCACCAATTCGTCATTTCCTTGGTGTGCATAACTAAGAACAAGAACAGTATGCTGCTTTAACACACACACACACACACACACACACACACACAATTCTTCTTTTAAAACAGTTAAGTATTTAGTAAATTAAAGCAGTAATTTCCAATTTTGTATACATTACAAATGTAGCTAGAAGCTGCCAGTTGGTTTTAAAAACATGTCCCCTGCATAGCTGGGTGTGGGGGTGAGGAAATATGGAACCATGCTGAATAAGGTCCTCTTTCTTCTTCTGTAGCTTCGCAACCCAGCACTCAACCACTGCGCCACCGGGGAGGCTATCTTCTTCTGTAAAAATGCTGTTATGGAAGTTATTGCAGGTAAACCTTAGCTTAGTAGCTGGCATGTATTACCCATTATTCTTACATTCTCAATTATCACAAATCCTTGGCTGACTATAACTGGTGCTTTCCAGAGCCACCAGCTGCAAAGACTGAAGAGACTCTGGCATGAGCATTTTTGGTGTTGGGGTATTAATAGTCCTTGGCCCCAAATCACCCATGGGACCATAGATCTGAAAATTGCATAAAATCTGTACCTGCTTCTAGGCTCCCAGAGTGTTTGCGCTGGGGGAACCTGAGATTGTTCCCACTGATCTATTCAGGCTGGTAAAGCTGTTGGAGGTTGCACTGCCTGCCTGTGCCTGCTCAGCTCAGGTCTAGAATACAGTGGAGTCCATTACAGTTGTGCCCATTAGAATATTTACTCTGACTTTCCAGGGATCTTCCTTGTTGCAATATAAGAGTTTAGCAGGAAGTTTGCAATGGGGCATGTGGGAACAAAGCCAGGCTAAAATCTCAAGGCTTTGGCTGGAACATTGCAGACAAGAGAGAGAGGAGCCCTTGGTTGCTGGTGGCTCCTGGGAAAGAGAGCAGGTAGTAATGGAAATAAACGGAGTTGCTGGGAGGATCTCAGGCTGCTCAGTGGCAACTGGCATCAGGGCACGAGTGTGGCCCTGATCAGGTGTGGCCCACGGAAGTCAAAGAGCATGCTCTTTGGATCCAGATGAAAGCCGTCAACGCTCTAGACCAGAGAACTGCAAATTGAAATAACTGAGATTAAAACTAGGCTGCCCCAGGGGCTTGCCCGTGTCACTGTCTTTTGCATCTGATCTTTCCCCTCCTTAGAGGGCACAGTGGGAGCCCGGAGAAGGCGCAGGAAAGGAGCTGGAGGTGTGGCCTCAGCTGCATTAGCTGGCAATTCTGTGGGTATAGAGAAATTCAGGGGGATGCTGGGGACTTGAAGTATGGGTAAGTAAGGCAGTCTGGAATAATAATGGTCAATTATTGGGACATTTCTTGGGGGATTCAATAGGCAAAGTATTTTCTGTGTATTTTCTCGCTCTCAGGGGACAGGTGCCTGGTTATCCCATTACTCAGATGAATGAAAGAGACTCAGAGCTCCCAGCACTTTCCCGAGTCACAATCTCGCAAGGTTAGAGAGCCAGGATTCAGACCAAAGTCAGTCAGTCTCCAAAGCCATGGTGAGCTCCAGCTCACGGTCCTTGGTCCCCACGCCCCTGTACAGATCCTTGATGTACAGAATCTTGATGCCGTCCTTTCCTCCCCATTGTAGCATGTATTACAAGCATAATTAAATAATTCCATGGGTAGTCATTTGTCTACTTTCTAGAAGATTGGAAGCTCCATGAGGCCGGGGTGAGGACTCTGCTCCCTACTGCTGTAACTCTGGCCCTTTTGTGCTTCTGGCCACATGTTGGATGCTCTTACTTTCTGTGGAAGGAATGAGTGGAGTAGTTTGGGGTAGAGTATATGATAAGATTCAAGCACTGGGGCCTCCCTGGTGGCGCAGGCAGTTGAGTGCCACACTATGAAGCTGTCCACAGCCTTTGCAGTGTGGGTTCGATCCCAGCCGGCCGGCGAGAATCCCACATGGCGCAGCAGACCTCTGCTGTCTCACCTGCTGCTCCCCTCAGCAGTGGATTTCATCAGGCTGCCTGTTCTCTTCCCTACTCTGTCTCTGGTGAATCCTCTCACCCTCCCATGCCTCTAGCCTGTACCCTGGTTCTTGTATAAATAAATAAATCTTAAAAAAAAAAGATTCAAGCACTAAGGTATAAGATATATATTTCGCTGGATGTGGCAACTGATAGACTGTGCAAGGGAGGGAATAAGGTAGACAGTGCCAAGGGATAGAACCCATGGGTTTTTCCTGTGACTAAATCCAGTAGAATGGAGAAAGAAAGAAAAAGGGGCTCAATGGGACTATAATAAGTTCGTTTTCTAAAATAACATACTAAGGATAAGCCAGGTATAAGTGGATAGGAGACATTTAGAAATAGAAACCCAGAAACTGAGAGAAATCTGGGGTACAATTAGGGCTTGTAGATGTGAGGCTGCTCCTCTGGTCTGGGTTCTCCTTTCCTGCTTTCAGTGGCATAACTGGGCATGTGGGAAGGCTGCACCCCCTTACCCCAAATCAGTCACAGCCATGTGACTGGATTTGGCTGATGATATGTGAGCAAAATACATGTGTTATTTCTAGGTGGAAGCATTTGACAGCTAGTGTGAGCTCCTCCATATGCTCACTTACTTCTTCTGTCCACCAGCTGCATTCCAAATGGTGCAGGTTGTCAGGCAGGGTTCTGCAGCGAGGACGAGGAGGAGAGCACCCTGCCAGCATGTGGTGGGCACCCAGTATAAGTGAAGTAATCCTCTGATGTTTGAATCCACCAAGATTTGGGCAGTGTTTGTTATAGCAGCTTAACCTAGTCTACCCTGACTGATCAAAAGCCATGTACATTCAGTCAGTTCCATACTTATTTATGAGGTACTGTGTTAGCTGCTGGGGATACCATGGTGAGCAAGACAGGTATGTTCCTAGAGGGGAGAATGTGGAGAAGAAAAGAGAAAAAGAACAGGAGTTGGGGGTAGGGCTCAGAAGAGGACCAGATGGAGCTAGGTGGCAGGAAGGCACTCAGAACAGGAGGAAGCAGCAGGATCCATAGGAGACACAGCCTGTACCCAGCCTCGGGCCCTCATGAGGACTAAAAGGGCAGGAGGAAGTCGGTTCTGGGGTGACTTTTCCCAGACTTGCTTCCCTAATGCAGTCGATCTTGAAGCATGGCTGAACTGTAGCTGCCTTATGTGGAAACTTGTTAGGAAGGCAGGATCTCAAGCTCCACAGCAGAGCTTCTGAAGCAGGGATGGACCACGCCCTCCGGGGGTTCTGAGCTGTGCTTTAGTCAGGGAGCCATTGCTCTGCTGCAGCTCCAAACACATGACCAACTTCCTTCCAAGAGCAGGAAGGGCTCCTGGGACCACCAGAAACCCTAAGTTTTCCAGAAACTCCTCTAGTGACTCTGGTGAGAATTAACTGAGTGATGAGGTCCCTGTGGTCACCTGGGAGGATAGGACACCAGAGGCCAGGATGGGAGGGGATGGACGCGCTGTCACATGACAGCACAGCACCTGAGGAGCAGCAGCTGAGCTGCCTTGGAAATGGGTGTCTCCTGGGATTGTGCTGGAAGCCAGACAGCACACGTCAGGCTGGGAGCCCCGGTCCCTTTGTGTTTTCTGCCTCTGTCCCATAGAGGCAGAGGGACAGGGATGGTGACAGACTGCAAGGCCCCTGCAGTGTGACAGGCACTGCCAGGTTTGCTCTTGTCAGGGTTTCAGCTCATCCTCACAATTACTTGAGGGAGGTAGGTGGGTGTTCTTGCACCAAATCAGATGATGAAAGGAGGCTTAGTGAGTTAAGGAACATGCCCGCCGGGGACAGCAGGTGAGTGGTGGACAGGGTTCACCAGGCCCCCCAGAGTCACTATTGTTTATTCATTGCCCATTTGCCTCTGGAGTCCTCCAGTCTGTGGCTATCCACATACTCCGGTAGGCGCTAAGCTGTGTTCTGAAAGATGTGTGGATATTAGCAAAGGGAAGAGAAGACAGAAAATTCTAGGCAGATAAGTGGCTGTGAAGAATGCAAAGTATCAAACACATGAGGCTAACTTGTGCTTGCCACTCAGAGCATAGGTTGTGTGTGAGAAAAGGTGGCAGCAGCTAGGGAGAGACTGGATCCTGCAGGCCACATGTGACATACAGGGATCAGAGGTAACACCTGTGAAAATGGGTGACAACCAGTGTTCCTATCTCAGATAAGAGTGTCTGGTGCAATCAGACATGAGTTTCCTCTTTCTCTTTCCTGTTTCTGTCCAAACCAATTTTAAGGTGGACCTCATAATCCCAGCTAATTAATTCCCTATGAATAAAATTTCATCCTAAGATATCATGGTAAGATCAACAGCAATGACAAAGAAATGTCATAGCCTACAGCAAATAAAAAGCCCCAGATCACATAAAAAGCCATTTTCAAAGCGGTAATTGCTGTCATTTATTGAAATCCGACTGCAAGACAGGCAGTACTTACTAAGTGCAGGCAATTTACATGTAATATTTCATTTATTCTTTATAACCACTCTATGAGGTAGATGGTAATTTCCATATTTTAAAGACAGGAAAGTGAAACCCAGAGAGGTTAAGTCACTGGCTCCATCATACAGAAAATGGCAAGACAGAAACAGCCTTGGATGCTGGCACCCACGCTTAACCTTTTGTCTCAGATGATCTGTGGAAGTCAACGGCCTGTGGGCTGGGAATCAGCAGGAGCATGAATGGAGGCAGTGCCCTGGTGTGGGACAGGACTGAGCCCCCCCGACACTGGCAGTGCTTCTGTTTTAGATCCCATCAACCTACAAGAACTTAACCCAGGGTCTTCCATTGCAACTTTTTAATTATAAGCACACCTTTACAAAATTGAAAGGCTTCAAAAACACCAAATGATTCTTTTCATAAGTGGGCCTCAATTGCAGAGAATTTAATATTTTACAAATGTGAAAGGCTCTTTTATTCCTTTGGGCTTTCCTGGGTAGTAATATTCTCTCAGAATAATCTGGGGCTGCCGAAGACAAGCAGAGAAATAATTTGCTGTGCAGAAGCTAAAGTCTTACTTCATCAGTGAGTGTCACAGGGATAGATAGCAGGTGCCATCTCTCTTGGGCTGCTCCATGTTTGCCCATTTTCTTGGCTTCATGTCTATGTTCTTGCTCTTCCTCTACCAAGGGAGCGAAATTCTTTCCTCTTGTCCCAGACACAGTCATTATATCTATACCCAGCCCCCAGAGTCTCCTCCTCTACCTTAAGGTCTGACCTCAGTTAGGATGGGCTAGGTTATGCTACAGTAATAAACATCAGAGGTTAGAAACTATTAGAAACCATTAGAGGCTAGAAACTACAAAGATCATTCCTGGCTTACCACATAGTTACCCAGAGTCAGCTGGGGACTTGCATTTCACCTGTGTTGTGTTGTCTCCCTTAACTCTGACAACAAGGCCAGTATTTTAAATTCCAGTTCATAATAAGAAAGCAGTGACACAAGGGTTAAGAGTGTGGTGAGGAATTCATCTCAACCAAATCGATTTGGACTTTGTTTCCAGCTGCTGACAAAATGGTGACACCATTTTGGATGCCCTGGTTGCTTCAGAGCTTTGATTTCAAAACTGCAACCAAGATTTAGTCATTCAAAAGTCTTTTTTTCCCCCTTAGAAAGCACAGCTTTGGTAAATTAGAACCCTTGTTTGACAGTTATGAATTTCAAAGGCCTGCTTAGAAACGCAGAAAACCAAGAATCATAACTGTAAATTCTCTGCAGTAAGCCTTCTCAAGTAGAAACCCACAGGCCTACTGAAGCAGTAAGGAGGAAGGTGTGGAGCGAGACAGAGATGTGTCTGGGCATGGAAAACAACAGCAGCTAGTGTACTAAGACAACACACTTTCCATCCGTATCAGAAAATATTCCAAAGGAGCCAGTTTTCCCCACATCTTCCAGGCTTTGTGTGTCTATTGAGATCTACAAAATGACAAACTTTCAACCCAGGAAGTCACATCCAGAGATTTTCTCATAATATCACTTCTGAGGGCCTCCCCTGGTGGCGCAGCAGTTGAGCGCTGGGCTGCGAAGCTGCCCGCAGCCTCTGCAGCGCCGGTTTGATCCCCGGCCACCAGCGAGGGTCCCACATGGCGCGCAGACCTCTCCTGCTGCACCTGCTGCTCCCCTCAGCAGTGTATTTCGTCAGTCTGCCTGTTCTGTTCTCTGCTCTGGCTCTGGTGAATTCTCTCACCCTCCCGTGCTTCTGACTGTACCCAGTGCTTGTATAAATAAATAAATAAATCTTAAAAAAAAATAATATCACTCCCTAACAGATGAAGTGGCATATAGATGCTACTATTTTCATAATTGCCCCATAGTATTCCTTGTGAAAATGAGAAATTTCCTATCAAGGTGGGAATTGGATATAATTCTTCTTGAGGTAACATCTTTTTATTTTCTCTCCAGGATATTTTTCCCATTGATGTAAGGATCGTGATCAAGTTTTAGAGTACCTGCTGAAATAGTTCAGTTTGATAAGTCGATTCATTTGCAAATCCTCATGTTAGCCTTCCACGGGGCTAAATATTTTTTCCCTTGGGCTAATTAACCCAGTTGATTACTGCTTTTGCTACTGATGTCAAGATTAAGTCTGCAGTCTTCACGGGGTCTAATTACCTGAGATGTGTTTCAGCCCTTTCTAAAATACATGCACTTAGTTGCCAGGAGAACCATGCAATGTAAATAGGTAGAAATACATAACTTCTAGAGACATTCAAGGTCTTTGTGAGGAAAGAGGGAGAAGTGTTTTTCCTTTCTGGAAGCCAATAAAAATTTGGAAAAATAATAATATTTATCTTTTGTGGGTTTTTTTTTCTTTTCCCAAACATTTTATTTTTTTAAATTTCAAATATATAGAAAAGTTGAAAGAATTTTAATTTATCTCACCACCTAATAGTAGTTATCTCACTGCCATTTATATTTTGCTATCTTTGCTTTATCACATGTTGAAGTGTCTATCTGTTCCTGTATCTAGCCAGTAAACTTTCTGTTTTTGATGCACATCAAAGAAAGTTTCAGACATCAGTGTAATTCAATTCAAAATACTTTTATTACTATTTTTTTTTGCCCTTAAAAGATAAATTTATTGTCTTACAATTCTGGAGACTGGAAGTCTGGATTGGGTCTTTTGGGGACTAAAATCAAGGTGTTGGCAGAGCCTCATTCCTTCCTTGGCTTTAGGAGCCCACCCATTTCATTGTCTTCTGCAAATTAAAGAGACCATCTCACTCTTTGGCTCATGGCCCCTTCCTCCTTCTTCAAAGCAAGAACTGTAGCATCTCCAAATTTTCTGAACTCTGCTTCTACCATCACATCTTCTCTGACTGTGACATTCTCCCTCCCCATTTTCTTCTTATAAGGTACCTTGTGATAACATTGGGCCCATTTGGTTAATCCAGGACAACCTATCTATCTCCAGATCCTTATCACATTCCCAAGTTCCCTTTGCCATGTAAATTAACTTTATTAGTGGAATTGGGTTGTAGTAACAAAATGTCATACTGGGTGGCTTAAACAGCAGAAATTAATTTTTTCAGTTTTAGAGGCTGGGAAGTTCAAGATCAAAATGCTGATCCATTGGGTTCCTGGCGAGGGTTCACTTCCTAACTTATGGAAGAGACTGCCTTCTTGCTGTGACCTCACACGGCTGAGCGAGTGAGGACTCTCCTGTCTCTTCTTATAAAGATACTAATCCTGTCAGATCAGGGTGCCACTCTTATGACTCATATCCTCTTTTAAAACTTAATTACCTCCTTATAGATCCTAGCTCCATATGTAGCTACACTGGAGGTTAGGAGTCAAATGTATGAATTTTGGAGAAAGAGATAAAATTCAGTCCATAGTAGTAACATATTTATTAATAGGCTCTGAGCATTAGGACATGGACATCTTCATGGAGCTTGGGGGATGGGGCATTGTCTGATCTACTAGGGCATAAAAAACTTTTTCCTGTTTAAATCTCTCTAGAGACTTAGGGAGCCAATCTACAGATGACATGTTCAAGGACTACGTCCTGGGGCACTCCTGCAAGTCAAGGATATGAAGAGGAGCTAGAGAAGGCACCCTCAGAAGGAACAGTCAGTGAGGCAGGAAAGGAGGAAACCTAGCAAGTCTCCAATAGGAGAGCATGTTTCTGGAAGAGACTGGATATCACTGCTGCTGACAGATCAAAGGGATGAAGAAGGAGGCTTGGCCACTTGGTGGGTTTATCAAAGTGAAGACCATGGGTTTATCAAAGTGAAGACCACGGGGCACCTGTTCTGGTGATATGGTGGGGTTGAGTGCCCGGGTAAGTAACTTTGTGACAGAGGGGAGGAGAGAAAGTGGGTACAGTGGTGAATGGAGGGGACAAGACCATTTCAATGAGCTTTTTCAGGGAATTCTGGTAAGAAGCGGAACAAGGAAAGGAGTAGTGACTTTTGTGGGCGTCATCATCACCAAATTGCAATATTTGAAAATATTGGCTGACTCCATTCCCAAGCTCCAAAAAGTAGAGGAATAAGAGAAGGAGAAAGCAAGAGTCTGCAGTGTAGACTGTCCACCACGGTTCAGCACTAAAGGAAATCACATGAAGCCGATGTCTACATTCAACAGTACCACACTCTTTCCTCCTTCCTCTTGACTCTCTTCTATTTTATCTTACTGTTCTCTTCATGCATTTCTTATTCATTCCTTCCTTCATTTCACAAACACATAAGTCCCCATACCATTGAAATTTGCCTCTACAACAGGGATTAGCATGAAGCGGTTAATGATTAAGTTCCCATGGGCACTTGGTGTATGTATGTGCCATGATAGCCTGGTCAGGAGAAGTGAATATTCATCACTAGTCTCTAGAAAGGCATTTCACAATGTGGGTATTATATCCTTACCTTGTTCTATATAGAAAAATAAACTTTAGGTGAATTAAACTCTAAATATAAAAGACAAAGACATAGCTCGATTAGAAGAAAATGCAGAATGTATTTTCGTGTGGTGTTGGAATGGAAAACGATTTCTTAAGGTACCAAAAAGTGAAAACCATACAGGAGATAACTGATAGACTTAATGATACCACAAAGATTTCTGATGCCATCAGCAAAGTTAACCAGTAATAGATTTGGAGGGGACCAAGTGGCAACAGCTAACAAATATTTCAAATATACAGAGAAATCCTGTGAAGCAGTTACATGAAAGGAAAGAAGATTATTGTCACAGATCCTGTTAATAACCTGCCCACATCCCTTGGTCCACTTCTGAGCTCACCTGCTGCTGTGATGGATCTTTGGTTTCCTGCATCACATGGCTTCCCACCTCAGGTCAGGAAACCTCTCTCTGTCTTATGGCCTGAAGACCCTCTCCGGTAGAGAAGCATGCTCCACTAGGTGCAGTGCAAACAGGAAGTGCTGTCGTTGAATCCCCCAGGGGTGGCGTACTACCAGTAAAGACTGAGGGGAGACTATAAATAGCCCAGCTTCTCTATTTCTTAGCAAGACAATTCTGGGGTATTGAACACAGTTCCTCTGAGGATCCTTTGCAAGACTGAGCCTCGATTGCCCACAGTGGTAACCTGCTCATAACCCACCCTTCATTGGTTTTGCTCCCTTCTTTGTCTCAGTGCTGACTCTCTCCCTTGTGCTTCCTAATAAATAATCTGCATTCACATCCTTGCTTTCAGGGGAACCCAAATTGAAAAGCTGACTGGATGCCAAGTGGATAGAATCTGGAAACCAGATTAAGACAGATATAAATAAGCATTTCACAGAAGGGGAAATAAGGAAGGTTAATAAGCGTGGGAAGAGATGTTCAACTCCAGTAATCAGAGAAATGAAAGCTATATAGGGAACTATCACCTCACCCCCACCCCAAAATAGGGCAGACATTAAAAATCTGAATTTTATTAAGTGCTTGTGAAGATGTGGAGAAACCAAAAGAACAACTAGTACAGCCACGGAGGGAAACATTGCCAGTGCTGAGTGGATTTGCATATCTGCACACTCTAGGGTCCCATGAAGCCCCCCTCCCCAACCCACGTGTGCGTGACCCACACAAACTTTCACACCCATCCTGCCTTGTGTACTCATCAAGTCGGTCTTCTGTGCTCCTGGTAATCCGACATTTCCCAAGTACATCTTGCTCCTTGTCAACTTCTCCTTCCTAACCCGACGACTTCGCTTCTTACTGAATTGAAGATATAGAAGTAAAAAGAAAGATGTTCCCGTGTGCTCCTGTCAACAGATCCACCAACCTGCCAGTAAATGTGCCCTGTCGCATGCTGCCCTCCCTTCCCAAAGCAAACTCCTCCATGTTTCTTGCCGCCTCAAGAAACCTTGCTCCTGAACCTTTAGGGCCATTTACATCTGCACTGTGTTATCTTCATCTAGAAGGAGGCAGAGAAGGAGGAAGAGGAGAAAGGAAAAGGAAAAATAATGTCTCTCTTTTACCCATCCTCCTCCATGTTTTGTTCCATTTTTCTCCTCCCTTCTGCAGTAAAATTTCTCTAAGGAATTGTTTGTAATTCTCTGTCTCCCCCAGAATGAGTCCATCAGCATCATTTCACATTTTGATGGTGTCGTCCTTCTGAAGCCTTTCTTCACTGCTCCAAGGACGTTTCTCTCTGGCTTGACTCTTCTGTGTCATAGCCGCTACTTTTTAATAAAACAAATACGGTAAGAGAAAATAACGGCTCTTCCACAGAGCAACGATGATGTTAAGAACTGAGGGTTTTCTTTAGTTCAGTTGTTGGAGAAAAAGAAATTAATTGTTCTTGGAAAGGATTTAAGTGGGGACTCTGGGACAGGCCTCCTAAGAGCTACAGGTAAGGCTGAATGGGCTGATCCTAGCAGGAAAGCTTTGTGGAAGCAGTGTTACCTTCACACACCCTAAAGGATGGAGAAGAGCAGTAGGAGGACATCCCAGTGGGGCAGAAAGGGAAGAGCAGGGAGTAGGAAGGTGGAAGATCCAGGCCAGACCTCCTAGTCTTAGTAGATGGTTCGTGGGGTGGGAGCTGGGGTGGAAGAGAAGATAAAAATACTAAGATCAGATGGTAGATGCCTTGGGTAAGATTAAGGAATTTGGAGTTGGTTCCAACACTAATAATATTAGTAATTTCTGGCATTTATTGAATACTTACTCTATGTCAAAATGCTTTTTCTAAGTACTTTATATTTTATTTCACTTCATTTTCTCAGTAAGTCTATAATATATCCTATTCTACTGATGAGAAAAGTAAGTCAAACAAAGCTCAAGTTGGCTGCCCAGTGTCACACAACTATTGGCGTGGAAGCCAAGATTTGACCTCAGGCAGTCTGACTCCAGATCACCCACTTTTATAATTACTACTGCGTTGTATCTTCAGTAAGGATCACTTAAGTTTTCTGAGCAATATCGCAACATAATGGACAGGATTTGTGAGGCAGGTTTACCAGCAGTATGCACAGTCACTTGCAGAGCACAGACACTGGAAATAGGTGGTCCATGAGGAAGGGGTGTGGCAGTAATGTGGGTGGGAGTTGGCAGGGAGCTGACAAGCATGCTACCAGTGAGATGACACAGGAGGGGGCCCGTGAGGTAGCAAGTCAGCCTGGCCTCAGGGTGGTCTTGGGACATTGCCTGTGCTAGCCCTTGGGCTAGGCTCAGAGGACAGTATGGTGAAAGGGATGGACAGGTAATTAGCTAATAGTAAGTGCACTCATTACTACAAGATGAAAGGAATGTAGTGATCCAACCTAAAACAGGAGGAGGGGAAGGTGTTCTCTGCAAGTAATTATAGCTCCTTACTAAGATAAAAGATACTATGCATCAAGTAGCTAATATTTCATAACCTTGAAAAAATAATTTTGGAAAAAAAGCAGTTTAGAATATCTCTCCAGAACCCAAAGATAAAATATTTGTCTTTAGAAAACAGATGCCCTTTTCAAGTTAATCATCTTTTACCTGGAAAATCAAAGGAGGCAGTTTAATGATCACCTAATTGGCAGATGTAACTAGAACTATCAGAGATAATCTGGTTCTCTGATGCACAGTTACATAGAAAAATAAGGTCTGTGCTTGTGGATAATGAATATGTTCTCTTCAAGTAGGTTTTTAGAAGTCAGAATGAAAACACATTTTAACTGGAAGATCAAGATACAAATCAAGAAAATTCATCTCCAGGGAGAGGTTGCCGAAGGTGTAGCAATTTTTATGAGTTTTATGAATATTTATATATTCACATGGAACATACTTTATTTGCCTGACTTAGTGGGTTATTTGACTCCCTTAGACATCCTTTTATTCATAAAATGTAATTGCATTGCTATCAAAATGACTGTAATATCTGATACCTGTGCAGACATCTATCTTCTCTTTTTTAATTCAGGGATGCTTATGAAATAGATGTCTTCCTAGAAAGTTGTGCTTAAATGACATGTTAGTAATGAGAATCAAATGTTCCCAGCCACCTTCTTTTATTCCCCTGGGAGATTACAGAATCTCTCCCTGGCTCTTTTAATGTCCCTCCTTGCTCCTTCCTAGCACATCCAGAATGAGCTTTCAAAGTAGGTCTGATTGTATCACTACCACCTTCATATTCTCTACTGGTGCTGCTCCTCACCATCACCTGGGAGATGCCTGAGGGTCAACATTATCTGATTCTGGGATATAGTTTGGAAAGTTACTTTAAACAAATGTGTTTAACATGAGCTTTTTTTTTTTTTTCTCAATTGCCTCTTTCTCCCAATGGTAGTTTGCCAAAAATTCTAGTGTTTATGTTTTCTGGTTGATGGGGATTTATTTTATGTGGAAATTGTCACTCTTGTTTTGAAAGAAAAAATAACTTTCCAAAAAAAAGTGTCAGTCACATGTTGGGGCTGTGAGTGGCAATCACTTTTGAATTCAGCAATTCTTTCTTTAATACAGCAAAAGGAAAATAGCATTATTTCTTGTTTTCCTGATCTTTAAATATCAGCAGCTAGAGTCAACATGAAGGAGCGAGGCCAGGAAGAAGGAGGCCGATCTTTGGAATACCCAGAGTTCCAGTAATAGCCCACAAGCTTATAGAATATCTTGATTTAGGAATTTAAGTTGTTTCAAAAGCTGTGGGTCTCACTTTTCTTGGGGTGTGAGACTTAAATGGACGAGGAAACAGAATCATCACATATGTTATAGGTTCCTCAAACTGCAGTATATTTTTGATACCTCTCCAATATTTTAATTTAATAAGGCATGTTTTGTATTTTAAAAGTTTATCAATTTAAACATTTTCTTTTAATTCCCTGAAGCCAAAAAAATGGGCATTTTCTTTCCAACCATTTAGAGTGACATTTACCTGTTCTATATTTCCTCGAGGTCAGAGGCTCCTGTCTTCCCCTCCCCCAACCTTGAAATACGAAATTAACAAATCTTGGAGCTAAAAGTAGTCGATGAAAGGGTGTGGAAGCAAAATGTATGGTGGTGACAAGCTTTAATCTGAATAGAAGCCAGTTCTATTCCCAAACTCTTCCCAAAATAATTTATCCTTTAGAAAAATTTAGTCATTAAAGTCTAAACATTAACCAGGAGTAAAGGCTAAATTTTCACCCATTTAAAAATGCTACTTCACAGTGTATGTTAACAATTAACACTTCACATGGGATTGGTCTTGTTTAAAACATGCAGTAACTCTTCTAGTTAAGAAAAGTGCCTGTGGACCTGATCTTAGTAGCTTTCAGGGAAATTAGAATGGATGGGGATAACAACTAGGCTTTCACATAACTGTCAATCAAGGGATGTTCTGACAATTGATATTCAGTGTGATATGATCAAATAAGAATGCAATCAATTAAGTGGGGGCAGAGCAGAGGGTTGGGGAGTAGTTCCCAGGGCGATGAGAGGATATAGCAATGCCATATGGGGCTATGGTGTTTCTGCCCAGTGGGGAGACTTATGTGGATGCCAAGGAGGAAGTGATGCTTCCTGTTACAAAGATGTTAAATAGTACCTTCCTTCACCCTGGGTATGGCAGGTGCCACCCAAAAGTAGGCAGAGTGCTCAGAATAAAAGAGTGAGTCTTGCAAGATACTGCCATTCCTATGAGGGCAGGTTAAGGAGGGAGCCAGCATCTGGGCAGGCAGAGCTTCTCAAGGGAATCAGTCTCCTTAACAATCTTAGGATGAATGTTCAGTTCTGCTTTGCAGAGAGAAATATGAAAGCAATCAGAGGGTGAGAGAGGAACATCACAAGGAACACACAAAAGAAAACCAACATGCTTTGGGAAATAAAGAAGGGGGATGTCGTTTTCTAATAGTAGGCTGGTGCCTCTCTCGGGCTGTCGGTTACTGGCCCCCGAGGTGCAATCCACAGAGAGATTTAGAGAGAGCACTTAGAAAAGCTGCTGGGGAGTTCATATTGCTGCAACAAGTGTGATTCTGGATTCTTGTCATTTATCTTGTACTGGAGTTTTCTTTGTGTTGGGTTGGAGGCAACAAGAGAATGTGAGAAACATACCCCAAAGATTACTCCGGCTATATACAAAGGCTTGAGAGAATGGCTGAGTAGGTGGATAGTTGGAGTTAAACTAAGGACAGACATGAGCCTGGAGGAGCAGAGGCAGAGTAGGGGAGCCCTGGACTTCTCTGACTGAACAGGATATAGCGCAATTGATTCCTGGTCACAGTCACATGCTAAGTCATGGGTGGTATGATAGTTAATTTGTCAATTTTAACATAAATGTATCCAGCAT